AGAGAGCATCAGAATCGACTTCCCATATCAAAACGTTGGGTATAGCCAATCTTGACAGGAATTCTAACCATACTCTACCACAATTCAACATACCTACACAATTCCCTATAAGCAGAATATCATCCACATATAGTACCAGAAAAACAACCTTACTACCATTCCATTTCTTATACACTCAAGACTCATCATGACACTGATCAAAGCCAAAACTTTTAATCACTTGGTCAAAACAAGTATTCCATGACCTAGATGCTAGTTTAAACCCATAAATGGACCTATTCAATTTGCAAAGCAAATTTTCTTGTCCATTGTTTATGAAACCTTCTGGTTGCTTCATATAGATACATTCATCAAGACTTCCATTTAGGAAAGCTGTCTTGACATCCATTTGCCAAATCTCATAATCATCAAATCTCATAATCATAATGAGCTGCAATGGATAAAAGAGTTCTAATAGACTTTAGCATGGCTACCGGCGAAAAAGTTTCCTCATAATCGATCCCTTCTTTCTGAGTAAACCCTTTCGCAACAAGCCTTGCCTTCTAAGTTTGCACTTTACCGTCTATACCCCTCTTTTTCTTATACATCCACTTGCATCCGATGGGTTTAACCCCTTCAGGTGGTTCTACAAGTTCCCAGACTTGATTAGAGTACATAGACTCCATCTCAGATTTCATAGCTACAAGCCACTTATCAGCATCTTTATTCCAGTCACTTGCATTAGCGATGACATGGACTTCTCTCAGATTTTCAAGCTACCAAGCCAACTATCAGCTATCTTATCTTGTAGTGCTTCATCGTAAACAGAGAGTGCTTACCGGAATATATATAGATATATAAAAAAAGACTTCCTCCCAGAACAGTGTATATTATCGAAACGCGTTGGTCGTACTTAACTTGTCTCGCCACTACGATCGAGTACTACAGGTCTGCGAATCACAACCTTCATTGTGTGCTCTGTGGCTGTAAAGCCGGGCAAGTCCCATGACTGTGGACTACATCTTGATCATGTTCTGAAACTTCAACATGGTCTTCATCCACTTCAGGGAGGCATTGAAATGGTTAGTACAGCCCCAAACATTGTGCCTCCTGTCATTTTTGATCAACAGCTGCCACATTCAGTTTCGACATAAAAACTCCCCACATTACTTTCAGTGTAGTTTGAAATTATTAGGTACTGAATATTCAGCTGATGTTGATTTACTGCTCGCACTAACATGACTTCCACTACGACTAGGCAATGGCGGAATGTCAGCTCCAACATTGCATGGGTTTACGGTTGTTGTTCTAATGGAAAGGCTTCTAGTCTCGCTATATTTTTCTCCTCTCAATTCACTTACAAGCTCAATTGACTTTGGGAAATATGGTTTTTTAATATGGTCTTTTCCTCAAAGATAGCATGTGCCATTGGTGCTAAACAATGCATTTTATCTTTGAGAACTATAAAATAAACTCACCTCTTGTTTCCGTTTTAGGATAATCACTTCATTATAGAAGTACCCATAAGTCTGTTTTTTTGATTCCAATTATCTGCTTTCCCTTTCAGCACATGGGCTTGGAACAATCCCCACATCCGAAACTATGACTCTAGACGTGGCTTTCGCCCCGAGTCCGCCCAGTCCACAGTTCTGTAGGAGTTTTAGGTACTGACTTAGATGGAACCAAATTCAGAATATATGTTGTTGTTTCTATGGCATACCCCCAAAACGAAATGGGCAAATCTGAATAACTCATCATTGATCTAACCATATCCATAAGCGTCCTATTTCTTCTTTCTGCTACACCATTATGTTGTAGCATACCAGGTGTAGACAACTGTGAAGTAATTCCTTATTCTGATAAATAAGTAATGAATTCTCTAGAGAGGTATTCGCCACCACGGTCAGACCGTAACGACTTGATATATTTTCCATGTCGTTTCTCCATTTCTGCCTTGAACTCTTTGAATTTCTCAACTTTGACTTTCTCAAAGCATTTAGACTTACGGCGCAACAGGTAAATGTATCCATATTTTGAGAAATCATCTGTGAAAGTCACAAAATACTCAAAACCACTCCTAGCTTGGACACTCATTGGACCACACAAATCAGAATGAATTAATTCAAGTACATCATTAGTTCTATTACCCTTTATAGGAAAGGCCTCTTAGTCATTTTACCTTCTAAACAAGATTCACAGGTTGGTAGTGCCTCCACTTTCAATGAACTCAATGGTCCATCCTTGACCAACCTAGAAATCCTATCTAAAACATCATTGGCCTTATTATCCTGTAAGGGAAAATACCTCTTGGTCATTTTACCTTCTAGACATGATTCATAGGTTGGTAGTGCCTCCACTTTCAATGAACTCAAGAGTCCATCTTTGACCAACCTAAAAATTCTATCTAAATTAATATGACCAAGCCTTAAATGCCAAAGATATGTGTGATTGAATTCAATAGGACATTTTCTTTTTAATGATACAACAACATCAAAGTTATTTATTTAAAAATTATTAACTTGCAGTTCAGGTGATACTTTAAGAATAAATAGATCATCAATCAATGAGCCAGAACAAATCATTTGTTTTCTAAATTTAATAATGACAGAATCATCATAAAATTCATTAAAACAAACTGAATAACCATTCTTATTCAAACTAGAAACATAAATTAAATTCCTTCTAATTGAAGGAACATCAAAACATCCCTTAATACTATTATTCTATTATTCTTAAAATTAAAAGTAACACTCCCTACAGTTAAAACTGCAACTTTAGTGCCCTTACATCTCCTTTATTTAGCTGACGAGTTACCTGAAACCCCTGCAATGAATTGCAGACATGATTAGTGGCTCCAGAATCTACACACCATTGGAGTATAGTCAACACCGCTAAACAAGTTTCAACTATCAGCACATAAAACAAAGACATACCTTGCTTCTTCTTGGCTAACCATGTTGGACATTGTGACTTCCAGTGCCCAGGTTGCTTGTAGTGAAAACACTTACCCTTAGGCTTTTTCACAGTAACACTTGCACTAGTAGATGCACCACTTGTTTTAGGCTTAGCCTTGTGAGCATTTTTCTTCTTCTTACCCTTATTCTGGGCAGAAGAAGAACCTCGCTCAACAGCTCACTCGCTCAAGATTAAGCACAACATGTGTAGCTCCTTGTTAATAATAGTCTCAGCAGCCACCAGCTCATTCAGCAACTTAGAGTAAAATCCATCTTATTCATGTTATAGTTCGAACGAATTGCTGAAAATTGGTTGGCAAAGTGTTCAAGACCATCTCAATTTAAGTAGCAAAGTGTTCAAGATCATTTCTATCTGTGTAGCATTGTCAACCTCAGCACCAAGAACCTCCATGTTATTCAGAAGACTCATCATCTTCAAGACATGAGTTCTAACTGGGGTCCCCTCCTCCATTTTGGAAGTAAGAATCTCCCTCAGTGCGTTTTGCCTTGCTGCACTAGTTTGATCTCCAAACATCTCCTTGAGATTTTCGAGCATGTCAAAAGCTGTGTCCATCGTCTGATGCTGATGTTGCAAAACATTTGGCACAGAAGCCAAAATGTAACATCGCGCCATCTCATCAGCTTTAACCCATTTCTGGTAAGCTCTGGTGACCTCCTCAGAGGCACCCTCACCGGGTTTTTCATCAGCTTTAACCCATTTCTGGTAAGCTCTGGTGACCTCCTCAGAGGCACCCTCACCGAGTTTTTCAGGACAAACTTCAGTAAGCACAAACTGATACTCCTCAGCAGTAAGCAAAATGTCCAAATTCCTCTTCCAGTCAACATAGTTTGGACCCTCAAGTTTATTTTGGGTTAAGATGTTTGCAAGGGGACTGAATGATGCCATTTCTATATCATGCATTAAACAAAATTAGCATATCAATAATAAACATTGAATAAATTTGCAAAATATACAATCTTTGATATCACAATTCAAAAAAAAACACAACTCTCACAACAATTCATGAATAAGGCAACCTCGATGGGAGAATTCAACCATAATCACATGTTTTGCATATGTAATAAATTAGAGTTAAGACCGGCAACATCACTACTCGCCATGTGATGACTAACATTGCCTCTTAATGACTTAACATTACCACTCTGCTGAGACAAGATATAATACATCTAATTCATTGTCCACTAATTTAAATTTACTCAGATGGAGAGTTAAAATCTAATCACGGACAAAATTAGATCACTAGATTCGCCTCATACATCGAATAATGCTTTAGTGATTATAAAAACATATATATACGATTGGGGCACAGAAATGCCAAATAATTACAACTAGAACAATTTAATTAAAAAAACCACGTCACAAACTAATCATATATTAAAAATAAACATTAATTATTAATCAAAAAATTGACCACAAAATAATATATTCTTTTAAGCAACCAATTTTGTCACAATGAAATATTAACATTTTTTTGGATCGCCCATACATTGAAAATTCCGTTAAGAATAATTTAGTATTCTGGTGCTATCTCACTCACACATTAAAGGATTAAAACAATTCTGGCGTTTATCTTGCAAAAACAGAAACATTCTGGGCCATTTCGCAAATTTCAGAACCTTTGTTCTTCTCACCTATTTGGCATAAAAACAGAAACTATGGGCCAAAATTTGCAAAAATTCGAAAACTAGGCAATTTTAAATAATACTCAGAAACACAACTCACGGTCACTTAGTGTCAATAATCAAAATACACAACTCCAGCGGCCTAAAACGCGAACTAACTGATCTACTTTCTGGGTCAAATATTAAAAACATATTAAAGTCAGGTGTAAAAAACATAACAGAAGGTATCCCAGGGCTCAAACAATATAAACACTCTAAGTATTCAGTGCGGTCCAAAAATAATAACACAATTTTAACAACATTGAGGGACCAGAGGGAAATTTTTGGCAAGCAGACGCTTCTTCTTCAACGAAAGAAGCCCTAGCCGACACGCCCCTTTTCCCCTTTTCAAACCTGCCAGGATTAACCGCTGCTAGCCCGGGCTTTTTTTTTTTTTTTGCCGCTCCATGTCTATAGTAAGTCAACGTCGAAGCCGCCTCCGACACATGCCCATCTCCCAACCTGAGCAGCGGTTACATATCCCACGGCACTCTCTACTGATCACTCTCGGTCAGCGCTGATGCTAAGCCCGGCGACACTGAGGACGATTCGGCTGCATCGTCGTGACTGTGCCACAGGCCACCACGAACGACCAACGCCTCGATCCCATGCGCAGTCGATCCTTACTCGACAGGCCATCATATCATCCCTGAATATTTCTTTTTTTTTCTTGTCCCCTATATGATCTTCAAAACATAAAAATAATAATTTTGTTCTTTTCTATATACCCCTCTCCATGCTTCATCGATCAACGAACACCCAAGGCGTAATTATTATATAATCTATATATATGCCTTTTTTTTTTTATGAAAATCAATTCAGACTCTCACTCACACAACAATCTACACTGTGTCACAAAACAAAATTGTTATCAGTACTGCACTTTTGTGCTTACATGCTCGTCCTTCACAACAAAACTCGTTGTGAAGCTGTCTTAACCATGTCACCATATCCAACAACAATTTAAAAAACCACGGATAATCAGACTACACGACTTTGAAACATGACAAACATAGCCCGACCATCATCACAGGTTCGAGATATGGCTTTGATACCAATTGATGGGACGGGTATAATAAGTGCCTGGAGAGAGAGCGTGTTATCAAATCCATATGCAGGGCAAACTAATAAACCATTATCAAACAAATACTGACTCCTCTGAAAGCCAGATTCGCCTCACCGGTGTGCGTTTCAGAGATCTTTGGGAGTCACCCACGATCTTCGTGCAGTAAATCCCTAACTATCTCTCTTTTGGATACTCTCTCTTGTAGGTGGCAAGAGAAACTTAGAATAACTGCGCTCTACTCACTATTCTTAGAGCCTTTTCCAGATTCCTTTATCATAAAAACCTCATACTCGATAGGAAGATATGTTATACATAGAAAAATCACTAATATTTAAAATAAAGAAAATTATTCTAAATGTTAAAAATCAATAGAAATCATTATTTTTAAAACTTAAATATTTATCTATTATTAATACACACCTTTAAACTTCTCCAAGACCTACATTTAGGGCCACCTTACAGGGGACCGCATCGAAGGAATAAAAATAAATCAGCGCTAACTAATATGTATAATTAAGAAACCTATGTAGGACCAACATATTCTAATTATAATTAATCATGAATGCATATTAGCTCACTAGAAAAAACTCATCTATGTATGAACTCCTTATTTTATTTTACTATCCACCAACATAATTCCACAACATAATAAAATAATGTTCCCCATGTTAAGATTACAGATGCTGTCATTTAAATAACTTACTGACAATTTATTTAAATCACAATATAACTTTATGTTTCTGAGAAGGATGCAACACTTAATCACTTAAAATTCAATTCAATATGTCTGCAAATTCAAGAAAAAACTTAACTTTACGAAGAAGCAATGAGCTATATACTGTCCATTTTCACTTTTCAAGGAAAAAAAACTGACAGCTCTTTTTCAATGGCATTAATTTACGGATTTGGAAGTTGACAAAAACTTTTTCTTTCTATAGTTGGTAAGAAGTCGGATTTCAAGGCCAGTACATAGCTTAGTTTTTATGGATATAACAATTAATCTTTGCTGGGAAACAGTCCATGTGCATGCCAGCAGGTACAGGAGAGGAGATAGATAAATACATTCTTTGAATCAATTTGCATCCAAACCTCAGATTCATTGGAATCCGGTATCAGAATTGGTTGTGTATTTCTTTTTTAAGCTATGTTTCCATTAAAATTACTATACTAAAAATTGTACTTAATCAAAGCGAATTTATCTATCTGTCAAGCTATCTGCTAATAAATATTGCATTTATTGGCACAAAAATCCTTTCCAATTCATAAATACAATAAGATAATACATTGTCCAACTACGAAAATCATTGATAGCTGCGTATATACTATTTTAATGCGCGATCTAATAGGTTAATAGTATATCTCTATCATCACATGGTGAGTTATGATTTGACGGCGATACTCCGGACTAACTCCCCTTTATTCATTATATTTGAGGTATTCTCTAACATGGTCAATAGAAAATCATTCATAGCTATACTATTAATTATGCATGGTTAATAGTATATCTCTATCATATTATTGTGCTAACCCCTTTATTCATTAATTTAGTATCTCTAACATGCATCATATTTTCATTTTGTGAATGAATGAGTGGTTGTTGGTTGGAATATGTGATCTTTAATTTTGTGAATAATGTATATCTTTGAGCTTATGTTGATTGTATGGATGTTTATTTCTCATTGTGCTTTAATGTTGTGTTATTACCTAATTTAATGACATCTTAATGGATCTCAACTAAAGCTTGTATGTAATAATTATTTGGGTTTTGGGAAAATTTTGGAGGGATTAGGGTAAATTGTATATTTAGGAATGGGTTGTATTCTTTTCTCCTTCCCCTTTCTTCGTGAATGTTTATGTTTATGTCTTTAAGCTTAAGAATTATTTGCATAAATTGTCATTTCTTCAAAATTGCATTTAAATCATTTTTAGCATCTCAATTTTAGTTAATCGCATTATTATTAATTGTGAATCTTTAGACAACGAGGAGGCCAGTTTAACCGGCCGATAGGGGTGCCTAACACCTTCCATTATCCCACCTAACTCCTGAACTCCGTAACTGATTTAAAACCGAGTTAGTCGATTTCAAAGAATCAATTAATTCAAGAATTTTCCCTAATAAGGGCGGCAACTCCAAATATAAAAGTCTTACCAAAGTAAGAGAACCATTTTCTGAGGATAAACGAATGGAATAAACAAAGAAAACCGATTTATTAAATAAAATCAAACCAAGTCCGTTCGACTCGATTATTTCCAAATTTCTCTTTTGGGAAAAATCACGTATCCTCGATGTGAAAGGATAATAAGGACAAAGAGACAATAGTTCTTCAATTATCTCAAGCGGCTACATATGAGATGGCCTAGAATGTATGCTAGTGAAGTTACACATGGACTTTAAAGGTGTGGGTCTAAAAACCTATGGATTGGGCGTTATTGACCCCAGCCAAAAAACCCAATAGCCTAGTTTGTAATGGAGAAGCCTTGAGGACTCGACATTTTAGGTTTTTGAGTACAGCCTAGTAGAGTTTGTAGGTTAAAATTGTTTTATTAGCTTATATCTTTTATTTTATTTCATTTGTGTTTTAAATAATACGATATATTTATTTTTAATTGCGTTTAAGTTTAATTTATACTTGTGCTTAAACTTGTAAATATCTTTAGATAGGATTTATACAAATTATAAGTAGGATTGTAATTTACTTGCAAAGTCATGCGAACTCAAAATCGTAAAGTAAATTCAAATTGTAAAATCACAAGATTTTACAAACCACCTAAAATACAATAATAGAGCTCCATACACACGTTGGTAATAATTCAAGAATAAAAATTATATATAAAAAAAAAAAAAAAAAAAAATAAAAAATTATATATAAAAAAAAACAAAAAAAAAGAAGATAGAAATTTGCGTCATGATGCATAAAGCTACAGAAAAAAAAAAAAAAAAAAAAAGAAGATAGAATTGCGTCATGATGCATAAAGCACAGAACACACATCACAAATTAATTAAAAACATAATGCATACTATGTTTAATCCACTAGAAACATAATCAAAAAATAACATGACAACTAGTAAGTCATAAGTGACAATAACACTAAATACATTTAAAATGCAAGAAATTAGAAAGTCATCAGCATTTTTTTTCAAGACTAGCCCCTTCAATATCATCTTCAGTTGTTTCATCTCCACCATATTCTTCATAATCACC